CCCCGTCCACTCGATGAATCAGAGCCTTCTGCAGTGATAGAGAACATTGGGTAACGTGGTCAGTCTGGCCAGGGTCTCATCAGACACAGTCAGCTTCTTATCATGGTTATACGGTGTAATTCTCCGTTTATAATACCGCTAATGTATATATCTATACCATATATAAAGGTGCATTTAATGTTCTGTGAATGCATTATAGATGCATTATGAAGGTGCACTCAATGCAAAGTGTTATCACACAATAATATACAGTAATGTTTCTAATTTGTCTCTTTATAATAAAAAAGACAACAACAAAACAACAACAACAATACTACTACTATCACTACTACTACTACTACTACTACTACTACTACTACTAATATTAAATATAGTATTAATTCTATTTCTACACGCTTTGGGGCACTGGTGAACCGTATTGTAAGATTTTGAATTTTAACCCTGTGTGAAAACAGTGTGTAGCGTTGTGGCCTTTCATATAAGCAAGTATACACACTAAATGCCGTGTTTGTCTGCACAATGTTTCATTGTATGTTCACATTACCGTTCTTCCCCCAGGACCAGGAAATCCCTCCCCATGCAGATTGACGGAGAGCCTTGGATGCAGACCCCCTGTACCGTGAGTCCTTCCGGAGCAAAAAGAAGCAATTGCAATCAAACAACAAAAATGTCATTCATTATGATGGCACCCATTGTTTGTACTGGTGATGCATTGCTCAATATCTGTCACTCATTTACAGTACCATAACAGTGGCATTCTAAACCATTGCCTGGTGTTACACAAGTATAAATCTGCCAAACAACCCCGTTGTATGTTTTATTGAATTTTCTTTTAGAGGATCACACTTCATTTGTGATAATTAAAATTTGTTTGGTTCTAATTGGGATGCACGTTCCCCCAGAGTGTCGTCTCTACAGAGCTGCACGGGTTACATATGGCTCGTTCACTAGTTGCCTGACAGTCTGCGGCATGACAGCTGTATTCATTTGAGGCACACTTGTACCTGTTAGCAAAAATGCAATTAATTTCAGTGACGTGTACCTGCAGTCTCGTTATTTCCATGGTGACTTAAGAACCGAAGGGAGACCTGAAACGACCAACCTTCTGAACACAAACACCACAATTAAAATGGGCTGCTATCAGACTAATTATTAGCAATGGTGGTTATGCAAATTGAGCTCAATTTTAGGCACACAGACAACTTTTAATGCCGCTCTTCTCATTTACACATGTAACAGTTTCGTTGACGGTATTGTTTGCGAATCGGAGCGTGAACTGGAGCCTACTGACTACATAACAACTGAATGTTTTTCCAAAAAAAGAAAATCAGAAATAGGAAGGCAATTTGTCATAAGAGGTTCATAATTAAGGTAGAGCAGAACAATTTATTGCAACAACATTTCCCATTACTCTATCGCCAGCATCTATTAATTCAGCAGAAATACAGCTGAATTAAAATTAGCTGTTGAATATTGAAAAACAAATAATATACAACCAATCACTGAATTTACTTTAGAATCAATAAAATCTATCTCTGTCTGTCCGTCCGTCCATCCATCCATCCATCCATCCATCTATCTATTAATGATCATAATTATATATTGTAAAAACCCCTGTCCCTTATGTCACAGTTCGGCTCAAGATACCACACACACACACACACACACACACATGGATGCACTAACATTAAGATATAAATTTATTTAAAGGTGAACAGAACAGCTACATAAAAATACCCCAAACCAAAACACAAGCAGAACAACCCAGAAATGCAACAGGCGTCATCATATTATTAGTTGATAGTCATTGTGCAGCTTGTTTTTGTTTAAAATAATTAACTGACAGCAATAAAGAAAACACATCGCTCAACTGGAGAAAGAATGAGTTTGTCGGTGATTTCAGAGGGCCTCTGGGAATGGGGTGTGGTGTGGCCAAATTCTGTCACAATTCATTAAAGCAAGACCCCACGTGCTTCTGAATGGACATGAATGGCCCGGCATTCGAGGGGGTGACCGTGCCTCCGCTGCCCGTTATTTGTTTGCCCCGCCCCCGGGCATTTGGCCCACCCCCGGGCAAAGAGAGACACGCTCCAGCGAATGACGGTCTTCCCTGCATGATCGTAATTTTACTGACTCAGTTAAGGTAAAGTAACACGAAGTGCAAAGAGAACTATAGTGAATCATTAATTATTAAACAACATTAATTAATTAATTGATCATTAATTAATTATTAAAGGGCCTGCTTCAGAGCTGTGTAAGAAACAGGTTTCTTACTAATAAAGTCAGGATCTCTGTCATCCTGTTTTCATGCCATTTTCATTTCCACATTCATTTTTGGTGTAACTTTTTCCTTAGCTTGCAAATAAAATTTATACGTGACGATTGTCCTTATAATTCATATTGTAAGGTATTTATTTATTAATTGCAAAGCTAAAGCATTTGTTATTTTGTATTGTGTTCGCTCATATTTCCATTGCAGTCTACGGTATAAATTTCACAAACATCACCGTGCTCTGATGGATTTTCACATGGTGTTAAATGTTACATTTCCCATCAGCAGCTACATACAAGACTGACCTTTGCTCCCTGACTTCGTCTCCTTCCTCTGGCTTGAGCCTTGACACCTCTTCTGCGTAGCACATAAGGAGCTGCCAGAAGCTCATTGGCTGCTGACCATGTGACCATGTGCCCCAAAACCCTGTGGTGTTACGGTTCACAAATACTGAATGAAAGACAGTGAAATCTTCCTTCAGCTGCCTAAAACCATTTACCTTAACTACTGTACGTCTGTAACAAAGCTGCTTTTATGAATCAAGCACCTGGCGCAATTTGGAGGTAGTTAAGAGTTGATATTTAGCGTACGATTGATCATTCTTCAGATTTACCCTAATTACTTGAGATGACTCAAATTGCAATTTGCTAAATGTTAAACTGTATTACATTCAGGGCAATACTGCATTTGTCCTTTATAGGACATTTATTTTATATATTAATTTATATATTCATTTAAATTACATCATACAGCCTGATATTGCTCATTGACCTGACTTTTTTTTGCATTTTCCATTTTTTCATTTTTATTTGTAACCATGATTTGGGTGCTAATGTTACTTTAGCTCATTCCGATATGTTCTCCTTTACATTTTATGGTAATATTTGCAGAATGTATGGTATGAAATCAGTTAACACTGCGTGAGGGTTAATAAGTAATTAATTTTATTATTAAGTAGGTTACAAGTGAATCGTCATGTTATCCAGCAAGACACGGTGTTCATAAATACCCCCCCCCCCCCCCCATGCATAGATACAGAACCATCATGATCATCAGGCAAAATCATTTTTTAAAAATGTTGATGTTTACAAGCGTGAATTTGAGGGTGACAAACCACCTCACTTTTCTACCCCTCCTTCCAGATTGAAATAATGCACAAGAACCAGGCGCCCATGCTGGTGGCCCCCCCACAAAAGAGCGGCTTCTTCGCCTCCATCGTTCGGAAGTCCCGGAGTGAGAGCAGAGAGTAGAGGGGTTGAGCCATGGTGGATTGTCCCACCCCCCCCCAACAAGTGGGCTCCCATTCCGGATCTGCCGCCTTTGCCAAAACTCCTGCATGGGAATCGCGTTTACGGGCGTGTCTGTCGTTGCCTGAAGATCGAGGCTCTACCTGTGCAACAGACAGAGGTTAATTTATGGGCTGAAATCCTCCAAAGAGGATGGAGAAACGGGGAGGAGATGGCAGCAAGTGTTCTGGGGCAACATCCGCCTGTAGTTATTTGGGGTAAATTAAGCTTCACAGTGCTGCAGTTCACAGAAGATGATCTGCCTGAAGCAGATTGCTTGGCACGGCCAATTCTGTGTGGCTCTTGTTTTTTTTGTTCAGCCTGTCATTTAAGTTTTCTCCTCTGAAGGAAATACTTTTGCCGTTAAAGTGTGGTCGTATTTACAAGGTAATATGTTGAAGCATCTCTCACCCATAGACATTCTTCCAGAATTTTGTTTTCTTGGAGGAAGCTCTGTTTTTCAAAGGCCTGTATTGTTTGGCTGTTGCACTCTCTCACAGTATAACCACCTGCGTGGTTCAGAAATTCTGAAATGCTGAAGTTTAGGTATCGTAGGCGCATGAATTAAAACGTTACAAAGCAGTATCTCTGTTACCGTGTTTTATTTGCTGTTTGATCCACACAGACGGACATACCGTGTCAATATAAGCTTTTAAAATTGCATTTTCTGCTTCTTTTGAGGTGTCTCTATGTGAAAATAAGCAGCGCTTTACGATGAGCGGGAAATGGCTTTATCTGCCTCTGTCAGAGATGATCATTTAACTGCCATCATTCCTCTGCAAAGATATTATTTCACAGCTTCATCACCGAGATCCAGATGTGCGTATTATACTAAAAATTTCCTGAGATTTTTGATATTTCGGGTCTTTTTAAACATGACAAAGAGAAGAAGAGTCAGGAAGCATTTTTATGATGCCATTAATTTAAGATTTAATCCACCACCGAACATTTCTGTCCTGTTTTTTAAGAAGACGGTTTCAAATTTGAAAACAGAAATACCAACCTTGTATGCTGTCCTGCATTAATATTCTGCCTGTTTTTATTAATTTTGTAATAGTCCTGTAAGAACCAGGATGTGGGCACGCACTGTATACTGTATATACATCAATATTTAAGGAGAACACACGCCACATGAATCCCATAATTACATTGACTCAGCAGTCCTATAGAAATCATTATATTGACTCATCTGCATGCTTTATTCTGCAATTTGCATGCTGTTGCATGGAGGACAGAAAACACAACCGAAGCCCATTACGGGTCCCTAACCTTCACTGATAAGTGTTTGTTCAGTCTCTTTTCGAGGCCCCTTTCTGTGCTTTGTGACCAAAGTCCACATTTACATACGTTGACACAAAACAATAGAAATGTAAATCCCTCACAAATATACCGATCTTTAATTCAAAGTGCTTGATTGGGCCTGGCACCGAAAGTGACCACGCTTGTATTATTAAGAAAAACCATTGGGCCGATCTCCGCCCCCTCCCCTGTTTCGTCTCCAGCTGTGGCTCCTCTGCTCTGTTCCAGCTCTGTTCCCTGTTGTTGCCCTCAGGGAATGCCTCAGTATAATTCACAATAAACAATAGGCGGCGGGCAAACCTTATCTTTCCTGCACGTCTTATTACTTTATGTTTTTAGTGCCGTGTTTGCACACTTAGGCACTGATGTAATCAGTTCCAGGCCTTGTGTCCGACTTGGGCGATACCACACAGTTCTAACCTAATTCTAAAATACATTGGTGTTCATACGTACAGTAGCATATCTTTCAGACTGCTGGGTCACTCATGTTCATTTTCTGTGTTGTTACCTATATTTTTACCTGCATGAATATTTTAAGAATCCTGTACTGGTTTTTCAATGGGCTTATTTGAGGAACAGATTCTTTGGCATTGTTTACAAAGATTGTTTTGGATTTCATGCATTTAGTAGGGGGTCTTGCCTTTAAATTAGTCTTGAATTTGAAGCCTGGAGATATTTATTGATATTTAATTTGAGTTTTGTTACTGGTTCTGTTGTATATGCCTCTGAGAACTATGTTACTTGCCCTCTTGTTTTCATTGCAAGATAATATATACATAACATGCAATTAGATGTCAGTTTATTTGTGTATTAAATGTGTGATATATATTTTCAAATATTGCTATTCAGAGAGTGTGGTGCTGTATTTTCTTTGTCGTTTCATACCATTGTGAACCATTTTTCCTTATATTGTGGGATGTCACATGCATTAAACCTTAATTGCAGTTAAATTATTTGTTTGTTTATTAATTAAGCTTTTTTACTCAGGGAAATCATTTGCAAGCATGTATGCAACTGTTTGCACGTTTTCGGCAAAAGTCATTCTAAGTCAAAGACTGAGCTAATCTTGATATTTACTATAGATTGCAGATGACTGTGTCATCAGATCTGAAACATTTTTAAATTCTCATTCATTAAGCTGTGCCACAGATCAGTTAAACAAATGCCAAATTATACATTTTTCTAGTGACACTGATACAGTATTGTCCAAACTAGTGCATATGTCAATGTTATTTTATCATATGACTCAAAAGCATTCAGAAGACGGTTCGGTGAATGTGAGATGCATGTATGCACACACAAAAACACGCACACACAAAAGCCATTCACAAACAAAAGATTATTCTTAAAACCACGTGCGATTTACACAATAGATACATTCAGCACATAAGAAATTTGCTTTACTATTGTGTTTTATGTGCGTGATATTATACAATCTGCTTACGACATTCTCCAAATAATACTAGTAATAACGATAAATTCCAATTAGTATAATTGCACCTTGTACTGTTTATTGTGAATCCATATATTTGCTGTATAGCTATACTCACAAGAAACACTATATATAAGATATATAGAGCGACAAATACATCACCATAGTGTTACACAAGTATAGATCTGCGAAACAACCCCGTTGTGTTTCATTAAATTCTCTTTTAAAAGATAACGCTAATAAAACGAACACGCTTATAATTCTATTGAATAGGAGAATAGATGTGTTTAACTGAAATAAGAGCAAATTAGTTGTTGTCGAGTATGATTATAATACTAAGATTTGGCTGTTGGTTATTTATAACAGGTACGAAATATTCAGAGAGAATAAGTGTAATTGCTAATTGAACAGCTTCTAATGGCAGCGTGCTTTGCAGCAGATGGCTCCGCAGATTAAACCGACGAAAGGGTAGTTAACCTGCAAGTGACAATAATTATTTGAAAAGCTATTCGGGGGACAGTTTGTTTAACCCTAAAGCCGCGGCTGATTGACATCGGGAAATCTGATCCGCTGAAAGAGATGGCAGCCAATAGGAAGCAGGGCACCGTCAGTCTGGGCTGGAGGCCCCGGGAGGAGAAACCCATGCAGAAGCGCTGAGCGGAGCTCCGGCGCCGGGCTTTGAGCTCCGGGGTGCAGCGAGCGGCTCCGACCCACCTACCCTCCAACTTCATTCTGCGGGAAGCTTTAAGGGTGAATGCGGCTCATGTTTTTTTAGGTGAGTACTCCGCTGGATCCTCCGATATGCCGTATGTGTTGCGCGAGTTTATGACCATCATCAGTACATACATGTATATGCATATGCATATATATTTTGCACGGTTTATGGCTTGCCAGTCCCTAATCCGTAAGTGCAGGACGTGTTGATCGCCATCATTGCTACTGTATCTTGTAGTGCCGAGCCGGATCTTTTTCTGCTTCGAGAGTAAATAAATGGTGCGGTAATCATGCGCATTCAGAGCGAGGAGAGCACGCGCCAGCTGCAGCCTCTTCGGGCTTCCTCGCGCGCCGTCCCTTTAGGATCGCTGCACTGACATTAGGGCGGTCATTTTTAACGTGCTTTTTTTGTGAATGGGATTGCTGTGGGCTGTTTAGCCTGGCAAATTCTAACGGTTCATTCATGCTTTTTTTTCTACTAGCCGTTGCTAAAACCCACCTTGTATCTTCTAAGGGCGATCGGACGGCAGACTCAGCGGAGATCGACTGTAGTTGCTTGTCAGATAAACTGTAACGTTAGAGTTGCAGAATGGATGGATTTTGCGACCAACAAGTGCCTTACGTGACTACCAATGTGAGTGAGAAAAAGTTAACTCGCTAACAGCCTTTGCAAATTAAATGAATTGAGTTGTACGACTTTTTAAATCTGTGAATAACGAGGTTTGGACATAAGTTTAAAATTGCTAAATGTTTGTATTCTTATTCCTGTTGTACTGTTACTCTCATGATCCAAAATATTTTGAAGCCCTTATTACTCTGACAATCCAGTGCCGGATTGACTGTCTTTGACAGGTTTCGAGATGAAACACCTGAGCCAAGTTTGAAACCAGAGAGACTGATGATTGAACCTCTAGTTTTCTTCAACCATTTTCTGTCAAATGCACTACATGACAGAGAATCATTCCATTGAGACAAATTGATTTGTGTTCCTTTATTTTTTTCCTTCTTCTTCTTCTAGAAGCCACAAGGGAAGAAATGTAATGAGAGAACGGCAAATGACAGAAAAAGAAAATTCATTAACTCTGACCTGGCTCTAGACACTGAAGGTAAGTTGGGGGGTGGTGGGGGGGGGGGACAGACAAGTTCATTTCACGGCTTCTTAACATTTAGCAAAATGCAATTTGTTTGTGGCTACCTGCATCCTGCAAGAAACTGCTTAGAAATCTCAATTAGAGAGACAGAGTGCAAAGGCTTTTCTCCCCTATAGATTCCCTTAGTTACAAATTTAGCCGGAACTGTGAGGTAGTACTTTTGGCCTCTCAGCCAATGTATGCAGACCTATGAGTGCTGCTCTCTCGCTGTGACCGTGCCGTGTGAACTGTCTGTATGTCTCTTTGCCCGTAGAACTCTTTCAGGACCTCAGTCAGCTGCAGGAGACCTGGCTTGCTGAAGGTACGTGGCTTCCATGTTACTACAAAGTCACCGGGCGAGTTAGATGGGAAGTTACAGTATGGGGAGAGAGTGAGAGAGAGGAGAGAGCGAGAGGGGTGAGAGAGAGAGAGAGAGAGAGAGAGGGAGAGAGAGAAGAGCAGCGCAGGATGAGATCTGCCTGAAGTTACCTTTTCCTAATGTGTAGCCCAATTAATGGCAGTGCGAGAGAAGCATTGTGTGTGTCATGCATACATTAGAGTCTGTGATGAGCTCTTGGTCTTAAGGGAGGCTGAGGAGGCTCTACACAGAGTGTCATCACAGATTACCAGGAGAAATCTCTCTCCGCTCACTGTCTCTTCTGCTTTTGCCAAGAGCGACTGCAGCGTGCCTCCACCTCCTCCTCCTCTCCGCGCCTGTCTCTCTCCGCGCTGCTTCTCTCCAGAGCGTCGCTCCGCAGCTGTACTCACTGCTGTTGTGCTTTTTTTTTTTTCTTTAAAAAAAAAAAAAGTGGATTTATGTTCTCTGAGGTGCGCAGAAGTGTTGATTTCTGATCCACCACCTTTGCTACATATATTTTTTTATTTTGTGTGCACTTCTATTTTTTTCTTCTTCTCTCTAATGGCAAGAACTGCTCTTTGTGGTCTAAGTCAGACGTGATGCTTCAGGATTTAAGTGCAAGTGTCTTTTTTCCATCCTGTTTGCAGCACCGAAGTTTAGGTTGGTGACGAGTTTCGATTGTCTTCCCTTCCGGTTCTTTCAGAAAATGTGCTGTTTTGCTGGTTTTAATTCTCAGAAATTTCTGAACCAGAGTTTGCATATTGAGACACTCAATTTTAGTGTTTTCTTTTAATCGTGCTCATAAAAGGAACTTGATTGGTGGAATAATTTTCTGCTGAGGTTGTCCTGTAGCATAAAGCAGGAGCTCTGTAGTTCAGTTGTGAAAGTGTGGCTTTGTTTGTGTGTGTTGTGATTTATTTAAAATTTATCATGACATTTTACATGCACTTGTATGTAGTTGCTTTATATACAGTTAGACTGAATATTTAATAATTTTTCTTCTGAACATACTAAATATAAGGTTGAAGTGGGGAAACAGGATTTGCTATTAGGCTGTGGCCAGGTAGTAATGTTACTCTTCACAATACTTGGGAACCATCATTTTTAATCCCATGGATAGAGCAGAAAGTTAAAGTCAGATGTTTTAAAATAAATAAGCTTCTGTGTTTTTAGAAAACACAGGTACGTGTAATATATAAAAATCTGCTTAGAAACATTTTTTTAGTAATTTGTGTTTTGTTTAGTTTTATTAATCTCTAAAATCTTAAAATGAGTTTCTGAAATATTGGCAAAAGTATTTGGAATAAAAATGCATAAATGAATAATAAAAATTCTGGGTGGGAAATTCAACTAATGCTAAATGTTAAAATGAATATGAAAATTCTTATTCATTAAAAATGAAAATTAAAAAAAATCAAGACAATTATAACAGGGTCAAATGTTTAGTGCATTCTTAGTTCAGTTCAGTACTTAATCTGTTACTACAAAGTGTAATCCCAGCTTGATCTTTAAAATATGTTAAATATAAAAACCCAAGCAATATCTATTTTTTAAATAGTATCATTATCCAGTGATACTCTCCACGGTCAGCGTATTCATGATGTTTGCTAAAATTCAGTGCAGTTAAACAAACGGTTATCATGTTTAATAAGCATACTAAAATAAGTTTATGCAAAAGCTTTATATACATTTTTGGTGCTTAATTGGAACTTATTTGTCAAAAAAGATTGGAAAAACGGAAATGTAAGCCTTAAAAATCTTTTTACATGGAATGTGCACTTTAAAGGGCCTTTGGAGACTAACCTGAGATTTAACTTTAAAAATGGTTTCATGAAAATTTGTGCTTATATTTGCTTAACTGTGTTTTAGAGAAAGCTGGTCTTTGGAGTTGTGTCTTTTTCCAGGCATGTGAAAAATGCATCCCCACCATTACACAGGTGAAAAAGGCAACTTGATATTTTATACCCTAAGACCAGCTTCATCTATTCTTTAGCACATTTCAAAATGCAAGCAGTATAAATTAAGACTTTAAAATGAAAATTGTTTTAAAATAGATTTGGGAATACTTCACCAGTGCATTGAGCTAGTAAGATTATAAAGTATATACCGCAGGGCTCAGAGAATAAGACATCATTTTAATATTTCAGCATTTCAGTCAGAGGGAAAAATGACTTTGTTCACTGGTGTAGATATTACTGTAAGGATTACAATTCTACCTGTCTTAGATCAATGAGGAGTGTGGTTCAGGATTCCAGATTTAATAAATTACTTCCTGTCCATTAAGATAAAAACGAATACTACCTGTTTCGAAGATTTATTAGTTCAGGTAATTGGAAATAAGAGAAAGGATTATTCTAGACTGAATCTCTGACATCATGGATTAAGAAGATGATGAGTCTCAGCTTCATTACAGGTGTATTTCCCAGAAAGAAGAGATCAAGGCGGCTGCGTTTTGCTCTCTGTTGGGTTTATGGCAGGACCTTTAAGATGTCAGTGTACTGCACTGTTATGAATTTTAAAAGTATGCTGTCATATCTACAGGATAATAATAATAATTATTATTTTATGAATCTTCTTGGATAGTGGATTTTGTGCTCTGCGTAATGTCCATGCATTCTTTTTGAATGCAGTGCTTTAGCTGACTTGGACTGTAGCCACCAGAAAACATACACTGTGTACTGCATCCATGTCCTTAAAGACGCGTAAAATTAAAAAGAAAATAGCATAAAAAAGCAGGTCCTGGCAGATTCAAGCTGTGGGTGTGCTCTGCTCCCTCCTTCAGGCTCAGCCTGTGTTTGGCCCTCACTTGTTTCTCTCCTTTTTTTTTTTGTGAATGGCGGCAGAGCTCCAGTCCCCCTGCTGTCCTCAGGAATTGTTCCCTGGATCAGCTGTCCCATTCACGGAGAGCTTGGAGTGACTCATATATCCGACAGGCCGGCTTGGCGCTGGCCCCTGCTCTCATGTCCCCTACTACTCTGCGTCTTCGTGCGGGGAACAGGTTTTAATTAAAACCTGAAGAGGCTAGCTTGGCCAAGACACCCCCCCACCCCCACCGAACACCACCCACCAACCCATACAGGCCCCACTTGGTTTGCGGGAACGCCGTATCATGTCGCTTTGCCCGACACGATGGCGTGAAGCGGGATCGTTGGAATTTGGGCAAATCCCGTGCCGTTTTCCTTCACGTGGGCCAGTGGCACGTGCCGCGTGTTCAGCCACGGGCTGGATGCCTCCACCGCGCACAGCGACTTTTCACGCCGCGTGTGCGATCTCCGGTAGCCACGGTGACATGGAAAAGCCGGCGGACTTTGTTGCCGGCTGACTTTGAGCGGGTTTTCGTGTGTTTTTCTGCTTATTGTTGGAAATGGGAAGCTGCACCATGATTGCATTTATATTTAATATAAATATAAATATACCACGACACATCTACGGGTGCAATTCTAAATTCTATAATGGGTGCAAAAATAGCACGTTTGTGTTCTTCCTAATAATTTTTTTTTCCCTTTAAAATCGTTACTGGAAATGTTTTATTTACAGATTATTAAATGTGTAGAAATGTATCAAGGCCTTCATTGATAAACGGCTTGTTCGGCTTATTGCCGAATTTCTGCACGTTTCTTTCATTTTTGTTTTGCGTGTGGTCGTGCTGGCTTCGTGATTTAAGGGAGATGTGGGTGTACCTGCATGCCTCAACACGTTAATTGTCCGTGCGGCGTTGCCAATTAAACGTCTGAAAATGAGCTTCCACATGTCTTATGCTTATAAATAAATGTGTTAATGACTATGCACAGTTAAATCTCCCATCGTCTCGCTTTAGCAGTTCTTCAACTTCAACATAACAGTTGGCTCTAAGTGTAAATGTATGATATATAAAGGTAATTGAACCCATTATGGGGACTCTCTTAGCATTAATCCTCCAGGTAAACGTGTGAATGACAGGTGAAACATTACGCTATAGGCATAACCCCGACTATGAAATTACTCTCGCGTGCCGCATTGGGGAAGGATCCCACAAGGTGTTCAAATTGAAGGGCATTCAAGAAACGTACAAATTATATCTTGTCGGCAGTGATCGCTATTTGCGATCCTTTTTCAGGCTGTGCTGGTTTTGTGCTTTTATCGGTTTTGAGCTTTTTTTCATCCCTTATCCAGAAAATAAAAGTAGGATAAGTATGTGCATTGGAATAGAAACTTCTAACAAAGCTTTGGCTTTTGGTTAAAGAGATAAAGATTTTAAAACTGGCCTTTCCGTGTTTTTTTTTACCAGACTCCTGTGATGTGGTCGTGGCCATACGGCTTAGCTAGCTGTTGTTCATTGTGGTATAACCCTGTACCATAGAATCACCTTTCTCTATTCTAATGCCTTTGATTCTGTCCGCAGCTCAAGTCCCTGACAATGATGAGCAATTTGTTCCAGACTTCCAGACCGAAAACTGTAAGTATGACCCCCCCGGAAGTCCCCCCCCCCCTTCTGTCTGTATCGCTCACCTGTACCCCATCAAAGGCCCAGTGCTGGTTTGAGGAGACTTTACAGATCATTTGGAGTAGAAATTTACAGCACTCCTTCAGTGTGTGATATGTTTCAGTAGCTGGTTATGTTTATATATGTTGCAGCCATCCCTTCTTGCCCTGTTTCCTAGCTGTGAGACCTTACAGTTTAACTTAACTGTATTACTCTGCCTTTCATAGCACTGTGGCAGCTAAATGAGGATGAGTGGAGATCTGCTCGCTCATATGCTATTGTTATCTTCTTATGTTATAGCTAGTATTCTCAAATGGTGGCATTGTGTTTCACTGTCTGCACGAGGGTCTGTCGAATGTAGGAAATGCCTGACTCGATGCAGGTTAACCTTCTAACTAAGTGCTTGGCAGAATATGGTTCCTGAAAGCATGCATATTTTCAGTTAGTTCCCATCGTTATGTACAGTACAGCTATTATTGATTATAAATGAGAGTGAAATTAGTAAACATGGTATTTACTTTATTTACTTTTATTTATTTAGTAAAATGGATGAGCCCAAGCGCTAAACACGCCAAATTGTGCTGTGGATTTGACCGACGGATTTAACTTTGTTTCCTGTTAAATCATCGCGCGGTAATGTCAGCATATAATTTTCTTTTTAGTGTAGAGGGTTTGTAAAAAGTGCATTCTTGTAAATGACTCATGTTCATGTTAATTAGTCAAAAATTCAAACGGACTTGAAATAAACACTCTCTTTTTTTTTATTTTTATGGATGTCCGTTCATCTAAGCTCAGAAGAGTTTTATATGTTCACAAAACACGCGAGCTACAGAATCTAGCGGGAAGCCTGACGCCGCATCACCGGTAAACCATTAAGACTGTAACATTTACAACTCGACGATTATTGTCATTTAAAAAAAAAAAAAAAAAAAAACCTTTTCAGTCCATTTCCCATCATGCTTTGCGGTTGGCATTTGGATTATTGCGAGTTCAAAGTGCACCGGGCAGCTCTTGACTGGTGTGTTGCGATTGCGCATCGGCCAGATCTCTCATAGACGACACAATCGCCAAAGTTCCCCACAAATGCCCTTCAGTCTTGCCACTCACTCCGGCCCACCCCGCAACCCCCCCGCCCCCTCCGTATCAGGAGACCGTTGACCATATTAGATCTACTTCTGGCATGTTGGAGCAGGATGCGGAGGCCAGAACAGATGGCGGGAGGGCGAGGGCAGCGTGGTTGGGCTCCGGGACAGGCGTCCCAGCCTGCAGCCCTCCCATATGGATTTTGCCGGAGAACTCCAGGGCGGCGGGAGGGGCGCCCCGCCCCCCCCCACCCCCACCCCGTCAGTACCACTCGTCCCAGGGAGCTCCGGCGAAGTAGGCGGGAGAGTCATGTTTACATCGGCTCACGTTTTTGTCTTACACGGGAGCGTGTTTGCGGTGGTTTGAGTCTTGGCACAGCACTGCCCACCTGCTGTCTCTGTTGGCAACTTTATCCGTTTAATGCTCGTTCTCAAAGAGCCCTTTTTTTGTGGATAACGCTGCTGTCCTCTGCTAGTGAGTGCTTTCCTCTCCTCCTGCACATCGATCTAGAACCGCATCCTTAAACACGCCTTCCCTAACCATCCGAGCACGGCTTTCGTGACAGAATCTCTTCATAGACCCAGTGCTGACTAGATTTTTCTCTTTTTCTTTGATTATTGTGACTCGACGCTGGGTAAAAAGAAAGTGTCACTTCTGCGACCTCATTAATGTCACCGGAGGGGGTGTTAAGGTGAAGCCGCACTCTCGCTACGAAGAACAGCTGGAGAAAAGTGCTTAACGGTAATCGCCAGGGGGCTCCGTTTCAAACGATGCTCCTTAATTTGCTATGTGATGGGGTCAGTGTTCGGAAATGCCACCTCCATCCCCAGCATGGACGTCCTGCTTGACTTACAAAGCATTTAACAGAAACACCTGTCAATGCCAGGCAACATAGGAACTAAAAGTCAATATTTCTAGCCACCATGACATATATCTTTTTTTTTTTAAGGTAAAAATGTAACCATTCAGCTGTGCCAATGCAATAGAACCCGCCAGTTGTTCTCGAACTGCCGTTGAATCGCGAATCGCTATAGATAACAAATCTAGTTGAAAAACCTTTTTGCCTCTATATTTTCATCTAAGTCTCCTTAAACACTTCTATCTGTTTGCGAGTGAGCGTCATGACTTCTGCCCTAAAGTCTTCTGGACCGTTTATCGATTGATTCAAATACACGAAAAACGCGTTTATTTTTTAATATTTGATTCGTACATTTGGTGCGCCGTACTGAGAGAATGCATTCACTTCACTAAAAATCCAAACGACTGATTAGACAAGTGGGTAATTAGCTTTGCAGTATGGTGGCTGTATGTGTGTGTGGTGTCGTTTAAAAATCATTGACAGTTCACTGGGTTAGTTCAAGGGTCTATTGCACAGGTTGGCAGGTTTTAGTGTTAGCCTCAGCAATTTAAAGTGCAGCATTTCTCTTATTGATTTTTTTTGTTGTTGCAAAAAAATTCAAATAAAACACATTATTTGTATGTGCATGTCCTCCTTCTTTCAACTTGGTTTTCAGTGATAAATACGTAATAGGCACCCTACATAAACAGAATTTTTATATGTGTCCAACGGTAACTTATAGCAGGGGTCAGTGTCACCCCTGCAGTTTTAAGTCTTTTTGTGAAACTGTGTTGATCACAGAAAGTCAATATGAGACGATATGTGACAGCTGTGTCAGACTGACGCATTGCACCCATGATGTTCTAGAACCTTCTGGAAAGTAGGCCTTAATCGATCGCTGTACTTTTATTTATTTTTTTCTTTTTCATTAGAGTGTGATCTATACTGGCGTTTCCGGGTCTTTTATGGATGCGTTTGTCCTGCCAGAAACTGTTCGGTCTGCAATACGGTGAAATGACTCATTTCGCATTTACATGGGAGAAGCGGCGCTGTGGCGATAAAGCTGCATATGTCTCATTCCCGGCCTTGTGTGGGCAGAACTTCTTCCAGTGTTTTCACGCCAGGTTTGGCCCCAGAAAAAGCAGCAGAAGAGCTTTCATTTGTCTTCGCATTTTCGTAGGTCTTCATAGTTCATTGTCATGAGGTCCCGAATGGTTTTTCTGCCATCTGTCATGGGACTCATCAGCTACTTAACGCCACTACGAGCTCTAGCCTAACTCAGCCTTTGCAGGATTTTGTGGTTTTGCACATTTATTATCTTATTCTTGCCCATTTTCTTCTCTTGTTCTTTAAGAACAAGCCAATCACAGGGGTTCTGTGTCCTTGAGATATCTGTCAGATTTGGTATGTAACATGGGAAGACTTTCTTCTGCCCTAAACATCCTTCCAATATGGATGGAAGCTTCCAGTAGCAAATAATTAGGAAATTTTGAATTTTTTTACAGATGATCACTGGGAAGGTGTGTAGAGGAACAGATTGTAATAATTTATTTCTTAGAATTAAATAGGCTTCGGTATTTATTGAAAGTTCAATTATTTATTTACTTATTATAACTTAAGCATTGCCATGTAACATTCAAGAACTCAAAGAAGCCTTATCATGTACCTGACAGAATACACTTGTTTTATTTAGCATTCATAATTTAGTCCTGGGTTGATCTGGTAGGAATAGCTAATTAACCCAATACAGTTGGGGGGGTAATCTCCTCAGGAAGTATTCTTTTGACCTTTCGTCGCTGACCCGTAAAGGTCACGGCCCTCGGAGGAGCCCTAACAATCACCGCGCTTTGAAACGATCGGCCCACATCGGTGTCTCGGGAGACAGAGAGCTCGCATGTCATGTTGTCAGATTGATTTCACACCGGCCGGCCGTCTCACAAGGCATCTGCTTAGCATGTGGACAAGCGGGAGGGGGGGGGGGGGGAAAAAAAACCCCCCCCCCCCCCCCCTCGCCCCTGACTCCCCAGTGCCCCCGAGTTATGGAGCATCCCACAACAGAGGCGTTTGTTTAGTGTGTTTTTGGTTTTGCTGTGCGCTCAGCCCAGCTGTAAAGAGATGAGGGCTGAGGGAATCAGCGGGGGGGTCAGTTAACTCCTAAGGGGGAACTGCATGTTTTTTTTTTTCCATAATTAATGGGTGAAAAAACATTTGTTTTGGAGTCCTAGATTTTGGAAAGTTCTATATTCTTGATTGATTTATGTTAAGCTCACCGTATTAACAGTTGTAAGTTATAAACTTGGGAAACTGGTGCATAATAAATTAAAGTTATTGGTCATAATGGTAAGGAGATCTGAATGTTTAAAAAAAAAAAAAAAAAAAAAAAAAACGTCATCCAAATGCTTAAAAGCAAATAAATTAAACACTTATTTTAAATTCAGTTCAGCTTCATTGTCATTAGGGTGTACAGAGGTACACATATAAGCAGAAGCGTCTAGGGACTCCTGGAGCTGCTACAACAAGTTTAAAATTTAATAATGGAAGCTCGTTGGGTAGGTGCTAGCCTTAAACTGAAAGACGGGCTTTTCCCGTTTTACCGTTAACGCGACATTCATTAACAAGGAAGCCCCAGTTGGTGTCTGGAGCTGGGCAGCATAGTTGAGGCCTACTAGTGCTCCGGTGCCATTAGCCTCCTATTTACGGTGCCCTGGAGCCCAGCGTCGGTGGGCCGGGGTGCCGCACGGCGCGGCTAATCCCGTTAGCATCGATCACGACCCCAGATGATGAAAACTCAATCGGGAATCGTCTGATACTTAACAGCCGTCTGAATGCGCTAGAAATGGCAAGTGACGATCCCTGAATCGATGGTACCTCTGCTGTTGGTGAGCTCCCGAAAGGGGGGTTGGGACGTCGAGGAGGTCACCGGGGGGGGCTTTGGGGCATTTTGGGAGCACATTCCCGTTTTGTAACCGCAACACAAATGCTATTTTAAGCCAATCACATTGCACAATGAGTATTGCTGTCCTCTCGTGCCCTGTCATGTGGAAGCCTTCTTTGTGTAAATGCCACAGTGTTGTTATTTAGCCAGGGAATGAATAATCCTTAATCCCTCTTAATCCTTTCCACCCTCTCCCTGCCTCCCCGCCTTTTTTCCTGACCCCTGCTCCCTCCTCGGCCCCCTCCCCTCCCCGCCCTGCCCTGCCCTCTCGCCCGCCACCTGCACTCCCCCCCCCTCAGTAGTGGCTTTCCACGGACTGCAGCTGAAGATCAAGCGGGAGTCGCAGAGTCCCTGCCTGGAGCTGAGCCACGCCTGCAGTCAGGACCGACCCTTTAAGCTGAGCTATGGGGAGAAGTGCCTGTTCAACATCAGGTGGGCCCCCACCCCATATAAATCCTGAGTTATAGTTCTGTCACTGCTCCTGGTCTATAGCAGCCGCTTACGCAGCTCGTGGCTGGTTTCTGTGTGTTGAGTGGGGGGGGCTTTGGATGCCCTGGCCGACTTTACCGGGGACCTTGAATACATAAAATTGTGAAATTATTTAATTGCAGGGGCAAAAGGTGACAGGGGGCTCAGAATGTTTAGCCACGCCCCTGCCACTGCGCCTCACGGACACTGAAAGCTCTGTTATATCATAATTGATTATAGATCATAAATATAAATAATAAGTTTTGCCATTAAAAATGGAAACCCTGCTCTGCTTCTCTCCCTCCGATCGCGAACTTCCTTCGACGGTAACGTCCAATGAAACGGATCGTTCGGCGACGCCCGAGTCTTTGACGTTCGGACACGTAAACAGGCCACGCCGAGACAGAGGCCCCCCCAGCCCATTACTGTGGCGAAATACAAGTATTAAATGGAAATGGAAAAGTAGACAGCTTTACTATGTCTAAATTACCGCGCCTTAAATTCAATAAACTGTACCTTCAAATGTTCAAAAACAAACGTGCGTAATGCACGGTTGCCTAGCTACGTCCGGGGTTACATTGATTTGATTTGTGAAATGTGAGTGGCATTTAGTTCCCCATATGCTCCTGTAATTATGCAAGCAACAGACCTTTTTATAAGACAAATGACACTTGAGTGAAACAACCACATTGATAATGATAATGACAATTTGCTTAAAGTCCTATGGAGAAAATGTCAGAGCCTCTAAATTAGTCCCCTGTATTTAATCATCCTATGAAGAATGAGAGATTAAACGCTGTGGCTGCTGCTAGAAGCCATGTTCGAGTTACTTTTCTTTGTCGTGTCTTTATTTAGTAATAAAAGGGGGGTTTGTGGGTCCACTGAATGGAAGTCTTTGTGCTTTTATAACACACTGGATGTCAGTTGAACACATTTCCATTCGTCTGTATGGCATCCATGTTGTGGGAATTGCATTTTGTATTGCATGCGGCCCTGGGCTTCCTGTTGTAGGCAGTGGGAACAAGGGTTCGACACATGTTGGGGTCTCCACGGGACCCCAGACCACGTCCATCTAGTAAATCGTGAACTGATCACGTCCTTCGACGAAGGGCATAATCGCAACGCAGAGAGACCGTCACAGAGGGTCAAAGCTACGTACTCAAAACTCAGCTCTGTCTGATTGACATTCCACCCCCCCCCCCCCCCCCCCCCCCCCCCCAGTGCCTATGAGCCGAAGCCTAGTGCAGGAATGAAGCCCTCCAGCCCAGCGACCCCCTGCAGCACCCCCGTGTCCCCACTCCAGCATGCCTCCCCAAACACCGCACCCACCCCCAAACCTGATCGGACGTATCCCCACCTGCCTCCCTCACAGCCCCTCCCAGATACAACCTTCACCATGGACCACAGGTAATCTAGCATCCGGCTGCTGGGAATAGAGAACAGAGACTCGCGTTGTTTGTGCTTCGAGTAAATGGACGTGTATGAATCAGTAATTTCAGATTAAGATCACAGAAGATGTGAAATCAGCTCGCGACCCGTCACTGCTTAATCATTTGGAGTACTTGTTTTGTATATATAATATACCTTATTTGGTCATGACAGCCCATTGTTCTTTGTCCTGTAACCACGGCGATAATCACCCCGCTCTCCCCCATCTCCCAGGTTTCGACGGCAGCTGTCCGAGCCGTGCCACTCGTTCCCCACGCCGCCCTCTGCGTCCCAGGACGGACGCCCGCTGTACCACAGGCAGATGTCGGAACCGAACATCCCGTTCCCCCCGCAGGGGTTCAAACAAGAATATCCAGACCCCCTGTTTGAGCATCCCGCCATGATGGGGGCACCTGTGGGCCAGAGCTACCCCCACTCCATGATGATCAAACAGGAACCTCGGGACTTCACCTACGACACAGGTGCGCTGCGCTTCGCTGCACCTTTTCTTAGGCAATAATTGCATTCGGAGGCACCTGCAGATGGTTACTGAACAAAATAATTGTTGATCGAGAATAACGGGTAGCTAAATATATTAGCGATGTCGAAATAATGGAATAAAAATGGACAGCTGCCTCATATTGATAAATGTCATTATTTGGAAATGGGGCGGATTTTTTTTCCCATATTGCCTTCGAACAGTGGTGGAAAATGAGCCGTTTCCTCTTTTTAAAACCAGATTTTTACCATTAGAGGAATGGGAATGTTTATAGAATTAAGGCATTATTAGCCGCCTGATTTGGTTTGCGGGGCCGCGCCGGGTCAGACGGACGCGTGTCATTTCCTGCGATGGTGTAATGGAGAGCTGGGCCGGGGCCCAGGCACGTCACCCGCTTGCTGGCCCTAATAGCCCCCCCCCCCGGCCCTTGGGGCTGCACGCCACATTGTGAATGGAGCTGCAGAGGCCTGGCGCGTTCATTCATAAATCGGGCCGGGTGGGGGGGGAGGAGAGGGGCTGCTGGAGTTGCCCGGTCAGGAAGGAATGTAGCTCCTCCACAGCTGCTTCCTGTTGGGGGTGTTTAGAATTCTTTTTTTTTTTTAAACAATGCTTCTTATTGGCCAGCCTCTCTGTAACATGACGCCTTTTCCAGCGCCTTGTTCTGAATTTCAAGGCCTTTAATTGTTTTTTCACCACACGGTCAGAAGCCTCCCAGTCTAAATATTCAACGATTTCCAATACCCCTTCCCCCCCCCCCCCCCCCCCCCCCCCCCCCCCCCACCCCCCCGTCACTTTAGCCTATGGGCTAAAAATAGGCTCCTGATTTAAGGAGGGTTCATTTACAGTACTAGAGTCACACAGATGAGGAAAAGCTTGTATCGATGTTGACGTGCCTCCTGGAAGCAGAACCTCTCAGCATGTTTTATAGCCCAGATCGAGCATTTAGCAGAATTTATTAGTGATCATATTGGTGCTTCTCTTTCTGTCTGCTGCCCTTTGGAGAGGATGGAAGGGCAGCTGGCAATTTCATTAACAGTAATATCCTCTACCAGCCTATTACAGTGATGATGTTCAGGGCAACGTTTATGGACCATAATGAACTGGGCTAGTCGCTCATTGAGCGGTAGAGAGTTATGTATTCTTAAGACTTTGTTTTACCTTTGTGGCACAGAATTGGAAATGACAGTGCCTACAATGTATTCTATTTAAGCATTAAAAAGGAAATGGATACTTTATGTTATGATATTTTAAAGTATGGATCAAATGTTTATTCTTAGCATCTAAGTATTGTGAAATGAGAATGATAAATCAAAGAGATCCTTGACCACTGGTAGGAGAACAGATGGTCTTTGTTGGCCTTTTATGACTCCCGATTGTTGATTTTGCTTTCATTTGAATGTTGATTTGTTAAATTAAATGAAATCAAAATTTTCCATCCATGTATTTCTACACGACTTGATCTCAGGCTTTGCTTCAGCACTGAGTCCTTTCTGAGCTGAATGGACATGGGGAAGAATGTAGCTTTTGACCTCATAGAGCAGTGTTTTTTATTTAGACTGCTAGACAGTCCACATTTTTGCTCCCTCCCAGCTCCCTGCTAGACAGTCCACATTTTTGCTCCCTCCATCTCTGTGGGTCCCCGAGACCCAGACTGGGAAACACTGTCATAAAGATGTTGGCCATAGTGTCCCTCTGCGGTTTGTAACATTGTTCCCTCATCCTTTTTACGTCCCTCACAGAAGTGCCTAGCTGTCATTCTGTATACATGAGACAAGAAGGTTACCTGGCTCACACCAACAGGACCGATGGTAATTCGTAAGCCGTGCTTCGTGCTAATAAAATAAAATAAGAAACTGCATCTTGTTATAGCATAATAGGCATAGACTTTTGTTGTAATAAACGTCTGTGTTTTGTAGGTTGCATGTTCGACAAAGTTGCCAGGCATTTCTACGATGACACCTGCGTCGTTCCGGAAAAGCACGAAGGTGAGGCGTCCTGTAGCACGTTGCACGTTGGCAAAGTCCCCCCCAGAAGGAATTTCACACCACTACCATTCTGGGCTGTACATTAGCAGCTTCCCTACATGGTGCGCCATGTCAGGTATTTACTCGCCTCTTTGCTCCCCTCCCCACAACCCCCCCCAAGGTGACATTAAACAGGAGTCTGGCCTGTACCGCGAAGGGCCCACGTACCAGCGCAGAGGGTCACTCCAGCTCTGGCAGTTCCTCGTCGCCCTCCTGGACGACCCGTCCAACTCGCACTTCATCGCCTGGACCGGGCGAGGCATGGAGTTCAAGCTCATCGAGCCAGAAGAGGTGACCATCCCACACACCCACCCCCACCGGCCGCATTTCCCGCCTGATCTTCCACTAGCAGGGCTTAACATTATTCCTGCAACCAAACCCTCACACCAGAAAATTATGAATGAAGATCTGGTAGTAAGGAGTAGCTGCAAAAGACCTAAAATGTGGTTCAAGGGATCGGCTGCGATGGAGGGTTGGATGATCCGGGGGACAATTTTGTGCCTGAAAAGGAGCCGTGGATCGTCCTCAGCTCTCGGGCCCGTGCCATGATTTCCTGGACAGAGAGGCTCAGTGCGGGGGGCTGGCGGTGTAGGGGGGCTGGCGGTGTGGGGCCTTGGCTCCCGTCCACGGCCACGGCCGTACGCGGTGGGCCCCGTCAGCTGCGGCGAACAGGGGCACCATTCATGGCGTCAGGTGACTGAGACGCACTCGCTTTTGTGCGGCCGGTTGCTGTAAATCCCCAGCCCCCCGCCCTGGCCCGGCAGGTGTAGGACCTGAATGCACAGTGGGCTTCATGAAGGGACACACACACACGGCCCCGGTGCGTAAGTGGAAGTGGGCCTTGAAGACGGCACCAGGGTGGGTGGTCCGAGGCACAGGTGCTGTCACATCTGCTCCGATGTCTGCTCCGTCCAGGATGACGTCCAATTATCGGCGCTCCAGCCCGCAGACGTGCTGCCCATGCTGCTCCTTAATTGTGGTTTTGTTGCTTGTATCTCTCAGAGTTGCTATATTACGCAAATCCGATTCTTCCTTTTAATATGGAACGGATGGTTATTTGGTGACATAATCTCGGAATGTAGGGCCGTTGGTGACATCAGGCCATCGTGGAGATGCGCGTAACTCATACCTGGCCAGATTTGGCGGTGTCGCATCCGCAAGCCATGAGCATCTCTCTGTGGTGTCGCGTAATTAGCTTAAAATATTTATTAACTGATTTAAGGGAGCCAAGTGCTCGGTATTTTTGGAAGATGAATGATACGGTACTTTTAGCACCTTGCCCCAAGAATTTCTTTGGCTCAAATGTCTTATTTTAAGCTCCTTGTATGATTATCTCTCCCTTCGTTATGGTCCTACTGTGATTTACAAGATAGATTACGAAGTCTGGGAATGAGACCTAAATTTTAATTGTGTTGCCTTTTATTGGCTCTGTCACATGCCAGTCAATTCAATGTCAGCTTCATCTCATATGTGTGTATCTGTGTGTGAAATTACCCATGAATACATATCAAATACAACATCTTGTATAAGGAATTTAAAAGTCTTATACATTTCCCATTATGTATGGTAATTGAAATAATTGGAAAAAGAAATAAAACACAAGTTAAATATTTACACTGGTTTAAAAAGACTAGGCATTTGTTTTGAATTATCAGTCACCATGATTTATGATTCATTCAGATTCTTTTGCTTAATGATTTTAATGTATGAATTTGCATTGAAATATAATTTTGAACAGTAAGGTATTAACTTCAGAGTAATAATACAGAATAAAGATATTATCAAGTTCTGGATAATTAACGTTGCTATTGTTAACTATTCAGTAGCTAGTTCACTATCAAGGTGGATGTATTTTAAGCATAAAACCTTCATTGAAAATGTGACATTTTTCACAGGACGTCCAGAATACATTACACGCTGCCTTAATTAAAACTTTTTTTAGGTTGCTCGCCGATGGGGAATTCAGAAAAATCGACCAGCTATGAACTACGATAAACTGAGCCGGTCGTTGCGTTATTATTACGAGAAGGGGATCATGCAAAAGGTGAGACCTGAAAAACACCCAAGACGTCAGATGTCAGCTGTTTGGTTTCCGTGACAGGGCCCTGTACTGAATGCCGGAGTCTGTTTTGTCTTTTTCCAAGGTGGCGGGGGAGAGATATGTCTACAAGTTCGTCTGTGACCCGGAGGCCCTGTTCTCTATGGCATTCCCCGACAATCAGCGTCCCGTGCTGAAGACTGACATTGAGCGGCAAATCAACGAGGAGGACACAGTCCCTCTGTCGCACTTTGACGAGAGCATGGCTTACGTGCAAGAAGGGGGCTATTGCAACCCCCACCCATACAGTGAAGGCTACGTCTATTAACGTCTGCCGACTTGGACCATTCCGGTACTGTGTTTGTGGGGGACGTAGAATTTTTTCGTTGCTCCTTCTGACCCCATTTCTTCTCACATCGCCACTGTTATCCCAGGACGGAGAGTGCACTTTAACAACAAGGACTGACAGTGTAAGCTACCAGGCCAAGTTCATATCATTGATCGTGTTTATAAAAGGGTATTTGTATAGGTCTGCCATATTCCTTAAAAAAACAAAAAAAAACAAAAACAAAAAAACAAAACAAAAAAGAATGTTCAGAGAAAGTGTGAAAAAACTTTGATTGTTAGGGGCATTTTTTCATTTGTATCTGTTCACCGTCTAACACAGAAGTCAACCTCTATATACATGTTTTTTTTTTTCTTTTACTAATTCAGATCAATAAATGTCAAATGCTTCTTTTAAAATGCTTCTATGGTGAATTGACATACTTATAGATGTGGAGGTAACTCTGTATAAGAGCCTGGAGTTAGTTGGCATATTAAGCAAATACTAAGACTACATTTTTTTTGTTTTCTTATATATAAAGATTAGAACTTAATGAGCAAATGGATTTTTTTTTCTTTCATATTTTGTGTTATAGCATTTCTGGCTTATTTCATGAAGTGTGTGCTAGTTTGGAACTGGGACTTGACTGATTAAATGTCAGCATGAAAACACAAATACGGTACATTCATCTGCAATGTATAATGAGTGAAACAGCAGAGAACTGTGGTCGGTACAGCATTGACCCTATTATTTTTATCATTAATTTTATCAACTTGCCCCCATTGTTCAGACAGGCCCATTGTGGGACCTGCTTCTGCAAACCATTGGTTCCTTTGGCATTTCTCTCAGATGTAATCTGAAGCCAGTAAGTCCGATGGTCTGAGTGCAGTGTGTCCAACAGGAAGTCACATTGTACCCGCGGATGTGATTTTAAAATACAAGAAGTCAAATGCGTATCGTAAGAATGCAGTTATATATACCTAAATATATACACATATATGTACACAAGACCACCTAGTGCTGCCACTGTCATGTAAAGTTACAGAGACCATTGAATATAAATGTAAAAGTTATTTTTGTTGTTTTTGTTCCTCCGACAAAGCCGCCAGGCGACTGACAGACTCAGTAATACTGCATGAAGCTTGGAAATAATCATCCTATATACGGTAAAGACCCCAGCATTGTGTGGCCCCTTTTCTATCCACTGCTTTCATTTTCACTTCTCAACTCAAGACGTTTGTAAAGGGTTTGATATATATACACATATGTACACTATATTCAGGATTTCCATACAATTCACCTATAATAAGTTCATCAAGGAGTTGGAAGCCAGAACTGAAGAAATAAAAACAAAAATGAAACTTTTCTTCCTCGTAATTATTTAAATGTACCTACACACTGAGGCTTTTATTGGTAGTTTTGTGTGGTATTTTATTTAAAAAAAAAAAAAAGATAATTAAATGAAGCAGGGACCATTTGTCCATTTGTTTGTCAAGCCTCTGTTTTTTACAACTATGTGAGTTTGTATTTGCCAGAGATACAAAGCTGCTTGTTTTCATAAACACAGGTATATAATAATTATATAATTAAATCTGAGTTTAGTACTTTTTGGTTGGAAATTGTGAGTTTTGCATAGTGTATTGAAAATACGCCCGACTTTCTAATGAAAGAAGCGTCTTTGTGACATTTAGATTCGTTTATGGTTTTTCTTTAACAACATTACATTTTCATTTTTGAAAACAACATGTATATGTAGCTAAATATACCTTGTATATGGCATTTTTTATTTTATGAGAATAAATACAGATGATGGTTAGGTTCTGCAAAAATTGCAGCATATGTGTCCTTTTTTAAAAGCAGAATAAGTTTACGAAAGTATAAAGACATTAATTGCTTAATAATTTGTATTGTATTTTAGAGTACGAAGGATAAAACAATTCAGTATCCTTAGCATGGCTGATTTACGAGACTTTGAGTTGTGAAGTACATTTGATTGCCCTTAAGTAACATCACCTGATCCACAAATGCAAGATATGTATGAAGCTTCTCTAAACCACAGATATAAATATCTAAAGAGCAATAGCTTCTGAAGTTATCCCCCAGGTGAACTGCTGGCTTCACATGTGGCTGCAGATATATTTTTACATTGTGCATAATAGTCTAGACATTGCATATATTTCCTACTTCTTAATGCTAATTTTAATGTTGGGTCAATTTTCCACAAACCCTTAAAATCAGTTGCTAACTTAAGAAATTATTTTGCAGGAATTGAGAGAACACCATAAATACTACCATAAACACTGTGATTTATTTTTAATCACTTACATCTGGTCACATAGCTTCACGTGCAATGTAAATTTAGATGAGACGCTCAGAACTTGTTTCTGTTTATAAAGATAATCTTTAATGTGACCAAATATTTGTAAATGACTATGAAACTGTGGTGGACAGGGCTGAGCTGGCAGCTCCTGCTTTACTTCACAGCTCCAAGCAGCACACAAATCACTGTGGTTTATTCAAAGTCCAACATTGAAATCCAATGCAAAGACGCCCATCGTTTAAATATGTGGTGTCTTTCTGTGTCATCAGGGAAATGATGGCTGGTATGGCCCGAGAGTTCAGAGCAGGATGAGTTTATAAACAAATTTGTTTGGAGCCGGACACAGACTTATGTTGTTTTTTTCTTTGTGTGATCAGTTGTGCTTTAACACAAAACTGTGTGACAATCCCCTGAAGTAAACCGTATTGAAAACTGTGACTGAACGGCTTGTTATTTGCATCCAAGGTTTTTTTGTTATGGTCGAAAGTCATTTTTTGCTGTTTCAACCCCGTGCCAGGGCGTTTTTTTCTCTCCGATGCTACCAGATGGCCATTACTCCTTGAGTCATCGCAAACCCATTACGCCAATGGCCAGCATTCACCTGGGCCTTCGCCGATGGCCCTTATTTGTCCCCTTCCATCCGCGTTCATATTTGCTGAGGCTCTTAAGCCACGTTGCTGGTTTATGACATAATATGTTTGCCGAGGTTAAATGGTTTGTGTTGCTCCCTCCACCCGCCCGATTGGCTGCGATGGCGCGGTATTTGTAAAGTGAAATGACATTCAGGCGCTCGGCGCGGCGAACGTGTTTGAACTTCCAAAGCGTGTTGGCTTTTAATACGGCGTGTTTACCCACGAAAAAGCTGTAAGTGTGTTTTTATCTCCGCTCGTACGTGTCGCTAAGTGGAGGAGCCAGTGAACATAAATCATTCAGGAGTAATTCACTGGAACAACAGTGCTTTATGAAAACACCGGAGGTAGAGCAGGGAGATTAATACCAACTTCAAGATTATGTTGAATATTACAGCCCCTGGTACAGCTGTGCAGGTACATTTAGAGTCATTTAAATCAGTGGAATATAGGTCTGACACGAATGAAGATACTGCATTTAGGGCCACAATTTTAAATGAAGAAACCACCCGCAAAAATATTTTTTCATAAAATGTATTATAGCCAATCTCATTACATATCATCTAATATATCTTATTGTATTATGCTATTATGTTATTTTTAAGGCTGTCTTACCAGAAACACAATTTAACGTACTTATCAAAATATTAGGCCTGAAATAGCGTGCAATTATCGTCTTCTACATCAGCAACTGCGGCACCCAAGGGACTGAAGTTTCCTAAAAACACCCAACCCAACAAATATAATTTACAGTCAACAAGAAGCAGTGGTAAGCTCCCAGGCATTACCAGTGCCTGAAATGCATCACCCTCCCCAACACTATTTAACCAGTAAACTTCAGATAGAAAGCAGGTGAGGTGAAGCCATTATATTGTGCATGTAACAGTAATAAATAGCAGATGGTCCATGTTTAGAAAGCTGTGAAGCTGGATATATATATATATATATATATACACACACACACACACACACACACACATTTAGTGGCCAGTTTAATATTACACCCAGCTAGTACCAGGTAGGGCCCTCTTTGTGCCTCCAAGACTGATTCAGAGGTAGATGTTGGCTTGCTTACTCTGTGAAGCCATTTCTTCACATCACTGATATACCGAGATGCTATTTCTTCACTTGTGGCTTTCTGTTAGCTTTAACAGATCTCATCAGCCCCCATTAACCTCTCGTATGGCGATATTTTCACCCCAGCACCATTCCACAGACTGCATATGTTTTGTTTGTTGCATCATTCTCTGTAAACTCTAGACACCGTAGTGTGTGAAAATCCCAGGAAGGGGGCTGATTCTGAGCTGCTGGAACCTCCACGTCTGGCACCAAACATACAAAGCACATTGAAAATCGCTTTGATCAGGCATCTAATGCTTAGCCAAACAATAAGTGAACTTCTTGACTCTGTGTAATTTACTGTTTGCATTTAAAAGCATGTGCACCCAGTAAACTGGTCACACGTGACTGAAAATACCTTGTTACTGAGAGAGGTCAGAAAAGAATGGCCACAAAAGCAAAGACAACAGCTGAGTACAACAGCTGTTTCAACTGTTCATACGAAAAATAAATTATTATTATTATTATTATTATTATTATTTAAATATATATTTGTAAATTTATTTGTAAATGTATCTTCCCACAAAATAAATCAACATAAATACTCCAATATAGTATTTCCGAGGTCTGCAGACACTTGTATCTAAGGGGTGTTTCAGAAAGTCATTCACTGCCGACTGATTCCCCTCCAAGGCGGTGGAGGTATTCTTGTCGCGCGCCGATTCAGGTGCAGAGCGGCACCCGCGCGCCGCCCCGACGCGCGCCGTCTGCCAGCAGCGCGCACCGCCGTTTTGTACGCCGGCCGGGAGCCCGTTAGAATCCCCGGCCTCCTCGCCGGCCGCAGTGCCACTCCTCCGCCGCGCTTCACACGGTGCTGCTGGCGCGCGAGGCGCCTCTTCACCTTCCACAATGTCGTTTGATCTCTGATATCCTGTCAGGCACAATGAATCTTACATTAGACTGGCCTCTATCAGGTGGTGAGCCATCTGTCGCTGGCCCCAAGACCTGAGAGGGAGTGGGGCGTCTACGACTCCGGGAAAACCGAGTCCCGGCCAATTATTCCTTTCGCCGAACTTCTGAGACGCGTCGCGGCGCGCTGGTCAGCGCTACTCCTTTGTGAATCCGTTACGTGTCCGTCTCTTTGAGACGCTGGCAAAAACGATAATTTTCACTTAAAATTATCCTCCTGTCACACACCTGCTGTATAGGTCTAACTGCTTTGGCGATGACATCTTCAGGCATGAGGTGAAAATGGATTCTCTTCCCCCTGAGCTTATCTCCTCCATAGACATT